AAACAAATAATAAGACAAAAAGTTACATTGGAAATAAATTTTAGGGGTTGCGTTTTCCACCCCTTACAACCATGGGGTAAACCAAATAAATTTCTGGCTAAGTGTATTTTTGGTAGTACAAAACGTCAGGTTCTGTGCTTGTGAAAAAAATTGTTATACAAATTTTATGTACCCCCTTTAAGGGGCTGTATCTTAACAAGGGATTCTCCAATGAAATTTCTTTATACAAAAGATCCTATCTTATTTTCGATGAGGAATCACATCCTTAGATGTTTTGCACTCATTTAGTTACACCCTGTATATAAAAAGCATACAGGAACAATATATAAAAGTGTAAGAACTGCTAATAGCTTTAATTGGACACAACGAGGAGATCGTTTTGGACGTGTCTGGCTGCACTGCACTGTAAAACATAGGTCTGCGGTGGCTACTGCCAAAGTTTACCGAATACTGAATAGTATTCTGTAGTCTTTGCTACTGCTGAAGAGTACTGAAATCCCGGGTTTCAAGAATCAGAGAAGTCTATTTGGAGAAGTGTACAGCAACAGTCTTGAGTTTCCATGATTCTTGAAAATAGGATTTCCATCAGAAGACAAAAATAGGTAGTTATGAATGAACTTACCGTTACTTGATGGAAATTAATAACACTATCCATGATAATAATCAAACAATTTTCAAATTTTGCCAATTCTGAATTGTAGATTGTAGAATCAATCATTTAAAATTTATATTTTCGCAGATCTGGGATTCTCCTGAGTGGACTACTGGCATAGTACTACGAATAATCAGAATGCTGAGACCTATTCAGAGTCTATATTTTTTTCATTTCGATTAATTTTATTCATGCTACGGAAAGATATATGAATAGACCTCAACTAGTACTTCTCTTGTTTTGTTCAGTCATAGATTCAGTCATAGAAATATCATACTTGTGTATGAATTGGCAGATGTTATAGGTGGTTGCATTGCCTGAACCTTGAACCGATACCATTTTAATATGTGAAGGATGAAATTTTGAAAAGGTCTTTTCTGTGCCAGTCTTCATATAGAGACACGTTGTGGTGATTTGAGTAAAATATATACAGGGTATATACAGGGTGTAACTGAATGAAAGATAGGATCTTTCATAAGAAGAAACTTCATTGGAGCATCCCTTGTTAAGATACAGCCTCTTACAGGGGGTACATATGTCTCACCATTCAATCTAGGAGGTAGAAAATGAGGACCAATTAAATCATCCTCAATAACTCCGAGCCACACGTTAGGAGAAAAATGTTCTTGATGGATGGTTTCAACAAAAGCGTGAGGGTTTTCATCAGCCCATATGTGGTAATTATGAAAATTAATAATGTAGTTNGATGTGAAACGACTAGTTTTTTATATGATTCCTTTGCTTCTGCTTTAATACGTTTACGTTCTTCTTTTAAATCTTTTTCAAATTTTTCTTTGGCTTCCTTTTTGCGTTGTAATTTTCTTTTATGGAATCCAGTTAAAAAGTCTCTATAAATATTTTTGTGTGAGAATCAAAGTTTGGTTATGTAATTATTATATATTCAATCAAACCTATACTGACCTTCTTTTATTTTCATCAAATATCAGAACTACTTTTTTTGCTCTTTTTTTTGTATCAGGTTTTGATTTTTGAGAACGCATTTTAATAATATTTACAATTTTTCGACTTAACCTCAAACCTTTCAGTTTTCTCTCCCCTTCACTCTATGAATTCTGACTCTTCCCTATATTTAAAATAAAAACTGCTAGGATCATCAGCCAATTTTTCAAAGCTCCTCTCACCCACACAAATATAATAGTCACTGAACTCGAATTTCAGTAAAGCTTTCTCGGCCGCAGATAACTGTGGTAAAGCTGTTTTTCAGATTTTTTGGACAGACAAAGTACTCGTAGTTGTCCTCACCGCAACTACTCGAAAAAAATTCATCCTCTAAAACACCGTCTATATTTCCGAGAACGATTTATTCTAGATGTAAATGAAAACTTATAATGGTTTGAACGAATTCGAACTTGTTAATCGGAAAATGATTATAAAAGGACACGTATTCGACTCTCATTAACCAAAATATAAAGAACAACAAGTCACACGTAGACAAGGATGAAAAGTGTCTACAAACAAACCTGTGGATCATGGCGTAAATTTTATGCAGAAAGGACGCCAAAAAATTTCAAAACAAGAATCTCCGAACATAAAAGAAGTTTCGAACTTATCAGTTATGTAATATAAATTTATTTGGAACAATCATGAAATACAAATCAATTCAAAGAACTAAGATTATAAAAAAAGGAAAGAAGAAAAAAAAATCACATCAAAGGTGCTGCTTCGTTCCCTCCTGTTCATGAAAGAGGACATATGCCTCATTGCTCACAAGTGATTTTAGCGAAATTGGGAATATGTGTGAATCGTTGTATTTATGGCACGTGCCACTATATGGGTGTCTGTAATATGCTGTGTAATGTCCGTTGTAGTTTCGAACTGAAGTAGATCGATTCCAACTATGCGTTGCACCTTTTAGGCAACAATCACGATTTCAACACTATCTACGATATACTACATATAGAAAATGAGGAACAGAAATTGTACCTGTTAGAATCTCTGGAAAGCAGTAAAGGCAAACAATCAAATTTCAATTGAACGACCAACAAGAGAATGACCACTCACCACTGATGAACATTTTTCCAACCGTGGTTGGAAAAAACTTCATCAGTGAACCTACCTGAAACAAAATGCATACCTTTTTCTTCAATTATTGTCGAACAACCTTCAGAACTCGTTCTGAATTTACATAATTTACAATTCAATAATATGAATTGTAAATGTCCAAGTATTTAAAAAACTGGCAATATAGAATATTTAGGTGTTATTATAGAAAAACATTTAAGATGGAATGATCACGTTACATATTTTACAAAAAAAAAATAGAATATTGTTTCATAAATTCTATTCCTTGAGAGATATTCTTACGAATAAAACGCTTATGATGTTATATAATGCACTAGCC